TTGATGAATGTTAATGTGAGGGGGAAAAAAGGTAAGAGGATAATGACTATGACAAATATTGAATGACAAATTTTTAAACTATTTGCTCAGGTCACCTGAGCCTGAGTCAGGTGGTTGCTGGGAGTTACTTCATCTATCAGCCTACAACATGATTCCTGTTTGTTAATGCCACACATAGTGCACGTTTCTATCTAGGTAAGTTTGAGCTATATTGGCTCAGACACACATAGTTATTTAGGTCATTAGTTAAAACGGTACAGCACTCCGGTTCACATTGCTAAGCCACTAGTTAATTTCTCTGGGCCTCACTAGCCCAGAAACGCATTTAAGTCAAGTCACTAGTTTTAGCTATCTGGTCAACCAATCAGGTACACACAGCAATAGTCCACTAGCCATTCGGCAAAGCAGGCCCTGGCACACATAGATAGCAAACACTAGATCTCATGGCTCTCTGGAGCAGCAGCAGTACATCTTTCTTGGCTATAGATCTACTTATTTTGGGGGGCGTTATGATTTCATCTCCTCTTCTGCCTTATGGGGATGCTTTCAAGCATATAATTGTATAGCAGCAGTACGTTTTCATGCTCACAGCAGCATACACATTTTGGCTGTTTGTTTATCTTCTCATTCCAGCTTTGGTGGGGGATTATTATATATATGCTATTTGTGCAGCCGCAGTATGTCTTAAGTACTCACGGCACCGTATCGGATCAGATCATGACAGATCATGATGGTAATATAATAGTTTTGGATAAACAGTATTCTTTTTCTATGTTATTTCTATCTTATATACCTAGTTATTAGATTGTGTAACACTAATAATGGCATCGACATATAAAACTTTCAGATCTGATTTTGTTATTTAACCCTCAATCGGCCCCTGGGGTCAATATGACCCCAATCAACTTTTACTTAGTTTTAAAAAAAAAATGGTTCCCTTCATCTCAGTGGAATAAGATTTTGTGACTTTTCAATATTTCATATCTATATTCACATAACAAAAACTGGGCTTGATTCGGTTGTTCTGAAGGTATGTAAAACATTTTTTTACAAATCTGTCCCTTGGGGTCAATATGACCCCACATTGAAATGAATGGGAAATGTGAAAAAATGTATATATATTTTTTTCATTTGTCAAAAAAAATAAATAAATCCGGCATAAATCTGAAAATTTCCACACAGAAATGAAGGCCTGGTACTAGAGCACAAATGCAATGTATAAAAGACATGCTCACTCACTCACTCACTCACTCACTCACTCACTCACTCACTCACTCACTCACTCACTCACTCACTCACTCACTCACTCACTCACTCACTCACTCACTCACTCACTCACTCACTCACTCACTCACTCACTCACTCACTCACTCACTCACTCACTCACTCACTCACTCACTCACTCACTCACTCACTCACTCACTCACTCACTCACTCACACACACACAAAACACATGTATGATTGCCACAGATAGCATTTGTATCAAATTTGGCAAATGAAATCAGCCACAAATGCAGAACACGTTTGAGATAGACCTAATGCATGCACATGCACACACTTCTGCATATTGCTGTTGGTTTTATTTACATTTTTATTTTACATTTCTTCCACATTCTATAATCCACAATAATATGCAACTACAATCTGACTCTAAGTCTTGTCCTTTAGGTGTGTCTTATGTGGCATTTTTCTGTCAAATTTCTGTGGCATTTTTTGAAAAGACATTTCAAAATGCATAAAAACCCACAAAAAATTATACCATTTGAAAGAATATTTATTTTTAATGTCTTTTCTAATGTTTATATATACATAAATTCACAAAATGTATCACAAAAGTTGTGATAGAAGCAGTTGGCCACATCCAGTAAAATGAATGGCTCTCTATGGCCCTCTGCTGGTCAAAACAATTTCTTTCCTAAACTGTAATCCGTTTAGGTTTATTTCTAACCAGCAGATGGCAGAATTCTACACCTAACACCTAGATCAATATCCAGAAGCAACTTAAATTACATTTAGGTCATCCTTTTAAGTGATTTTTTAATAATAAATTAATATTTCACATGCAAGCTAATGGTGTAGTTGAGGAATTTTGTGGTAAATAGGTACAAAGGTACTTCATATCTCCCAAAACACAGCATTAATGTATAGATGAGAAGTAAACAAAAAAAATTATATATTATTTGTATGATTAAAAATGTATATATTTTTCACAATTACTCTTTCAATGTTTGGGGTCATATTGACCCCAAGGGACTTAAGTGTAAACAGGAAATGAGGGACATTTGAGGGTTAATTTAGCCTGTTGGTGAATGACATGACACTTTTTATGTGTTAGCATCCACTAATTAATTTAAAAATATTATCAATGCGACTTGAATAGATTATTATGATTATGCTTATCATTTCTGAATTATTAATACTTATCAAAATAGGTCAGGAATGTCAGGGCAATACAATTGACTGAAATTACAATGAAGAAAAAAGTGCCTGATTAAAAGAATAATATTTTGCAAAATAAAACCTTGAAAAGTAGGTTGGTATATGTTTTCTTTTCATTATATAGAAAAAATATACATTTTAACATCATAACCAAGTGGCTTCAGTGTTTAGGCTATTAATATTTGAAAAACTCTTTTCTTGAGTGTATTTTGGCAATATTTTGGCCGCAGGCGATAAGGTTGTGGCAGAAATAATCCAGTTCACAATCACGTATTCAAGGTGTAAGGAAAATTACCTTTTACTTCATGGTTACACCGCATGACAAACAAAATTGAAACCTTTCTTGTGAATGGTATGAATGTTTTTCAAAGCCATTTGAAACATGAACAGAGAGTACATTTCTAAGAACCTGACATGTTCACTGCCCTCCCCATTTTTTGTTATTTATTTTTTGTTAATGTTTCCTGTTATTATCAGCTCTTATGTATGCACCAATGGAGTGAAGTGTGATAAAAGAAAAGAATGAATTTTCTTTCCAGATAAAAAGGCTACTCAGATTTGGTGACATTGGGCATATAAAGGGGCAATGTATTGAGAAATAGGTGCCTCTGTTACCATAAGACTGCTGTTGCTATGCCAAAATGTTACGTATTCATATCTTACACATTACATTGTCATTTATACATTTATTCATTTGGAAGATGCTTTTTTCCAAAGCGACTTACAGTTGTGGAATACAAGTGATTCATCATAAGATGGCAATAAACACGATAAGTGCCCGTTATACAAGGTTTCAGTCATCGTAGGCTTCTGGAGGGGATGTAAAAGCATAGGAGAGAGTGGAGGTAGGAGGGTGCAGCGCCTGTGGCAGTTCTGTAGGCAAGCACCAATTTCTTGAACTTGATGCGAGCTACGACTGGAAGCCAGTGCAGAGAGATGAGAAGTGGAGTGGCTTGGGCTCATTGAAAACAAGACGTTCTGCTGCATTGTGAATCATTTGCAGAGGTCTGATTGCACATGTTGGAAGTCCAGCCAGAAGAGCATTGCAATAGTCCAGCCTAGAAATGACAAGGGCCTGGATGAGAAGCTGTGTTGCATGCTCTGTTAGGAAGGGTCTGATCTTCCTGATGTTGTGTAGTGTGAACCTGCATGATAGTGCTGTTTTTGCAATATGGTCTTTAAAGGTCAGCTGATCATCAAGGATCACCCCAAGATTCCTGGCTGAACACGATGGGATTATCGTTGATGAGCCCAGTTGGATGGTAAACGGGTGCTGTACTGAGGCAGCATTTTCCTCCTTGAGCTTCTTTTTATGACTCAAGGATCTATCTATTTACACAAAACACCAGGGCACAACTGCACCCCTCAAGCAGCATTGTGTCCAAGTACTTTTACCAATTATTTTCTCAATAGAATTTCAAGAAGCCTTGAACCACAACAGACATCTTCAAGATGAATCACAATGTTACAAGATTTAATTTGAAGCTTCAAAAAGACATTCACTTCTTTTTTAAACACGTGTTTTTTATAAGGGAACATGCTACTTATACCATTATGACTCTGAAGGACATGATAAAATCTAGTAACAATAGTGTGTGGGTTTATATATATATATATATATATATATATATATATATACACATATTTCTTTTTCATATATATCTCACATATATTTTTCAACACTGATAATATGAAATGTTTCTGAAACACCAAATGAGCGCATTGTATTGACAATATTAATATTATTATCTATCTATCTATCTATCTATCTATCTATCTATCATTGTCAGAACAGCAAAATATCAGTAGTCAATACCAATATGAGTGAAATTTCATGATTCTCAGTACCACTTTTAAAACCACTGATTAAACTAGCATTTTGTAAATGTTCTCAAGTGATTCAAGATAAGCAAACAGTCTACAATATAATAGATCAAAGTACAAACAATAGGAAAAAAATCAATGTTTGATTGATATTAATGGCATAACAGAGAGTGTCAATGCTACAGGCTACATATATGAACAGGTCCGAAATTTTGACACATCCAAAATAAAAAAATAGCTTACACTGACTTAAGACGTAACCAAATATGCTTAAATGAATTCATCTGCAAAACAAGCATAGCAGTTGATACTACTGGTAGTAGAAAAACTGATAATATTATATTTTATTAATTTTAGTGTGTAACAAAGTACCAGTACTTTTGACATCCCTACTACAAAATATTTAAATACATTTAATTAATTAATTTTAAAAAGTTGAAATTACACTTGACTAGATTATACAGAAGCATACTAATATCAATGCTTAACAACATATGGTAAGTTTTTATTTTCTTTGTGCATGATTTAAAAACACTGGCTTTTGAGTTTCTATATACAGTATCAAGGGTGTCTGCCAAAACAACAGTCCACACAATAAAATTTCAAGCACAATAACAATACTCAACACTTACTGCTAAATTGTTTCCTGTTCCACTAAAAAAAACACACACACACACACACACACACACACACACACACAGACAGTTTACATAAATTACAGTAATATTTCAGGGAATCAAATAAAATGATACAACATTCACATTTATATTCACAGTTTTTTTCCCTAGTAAACATGGTCATCATTAAGGAATTATGTAATACATAATGCAAATGCAAATACACGCACAGCGCACAGAGATGACAAAATGTTGATCTATTGTTCCATCACTTTGTTTTTTCCTTTTTATTTTTTGAATCCTTCATTTTTTTTATCAGGTTGATCAATTCTTCAATTAGGATGTTTTAAGGAAAAAAAATGTGTATATTACTCTGAGGTGTTAACAGGTAAATGTCTTTGGCAGTCAGCAGCCAGACGGAGGGACACAGTGGCCTCCGTGCTACTCGGGTTGACCCGAAAGTGGTTGTGTGCAGGCTGGATGGCCACTATAAACTGCCTTTTAAAGGTCTTACTCAGAATAATATAAAGAAAAGGATTAATGCAGCTGTTAGTGTAACCCATGCTAATGGCAACGTGATAGACATAATAAAACGAGGCACTGGGTTTCTGTATTCCCAAATGGACAAGCTGAAGGATGTAGTACGGAGCCCAACAGATGAAAAAGGCCAAACAGATGGCCACAGCCATCCGAGTCACACTTTTTGTGCGCACTTGTTGGTTCCTCGGGGGAAGAGGAGCCACTGTGGTAGACACGTGCTTCAAGATTTTAAAAAACACCACACAGATAATCATGAGCGGAAGGGCGAATGCCAGCACAAACTGATAGATAGTGAACCAGCAGATGTTGATGGATGGATTCGGTAGCAGGAGAGCACATCCCACCTGGCCGTTGTGGAGAGGCATCAAGCCAGTGTACATTAAAACAGGAGTAATTGAGATGAGAGAAAGCACCCACACCATCCCCACCACACAACTGGCGACACAGGTTGTCCGGACGTGGTTAACGCGGAATGGGTGGACAGTAGCCACATAACGGTCCAAGGTCATAACTGTGAGGATGTAGGTGCTCACGGTCTGGCTGTTCGAATCTAGGGCAGAGATGACTTTGCACATAGTGGCTCCGAAACACCAAGATCCGTTTCCCATGAGCTGATGAATGAGAAAGGGCATGCCGAGGAGGAAAAGCAAATCCACAATAGAGAGATTGAATATGAAAATGTCTGGTACCGTTTGTTTAGCCTGGCATTTGGTCTTTTTAATGATGGTGTAGATGACAATAGAATTTCCAGTGATGCCAAAAAAACATATGGTCCCAAAAATACTGGGCAAGATGGCATTTCCATACTGGTCCCCCATGGTCACTAAGCACACAATGATATCACATATAAAAACAAGATCCAGATGTGGTGTGTGTGTGTTTATAATACATAAATATATAAAGTACATAAGAGAAAAATGTTGACATATGGTGTATGGCATCTGTTAAACAGCATTTTGCTAATTCTTATGCTAATTAAATAATTATTATGCAGTTGTTATGGAGATAAACTTGAAATTGTAGCCACAGTGCCTAAAATACATACTTTCTATTATGAATGCACATAAGAAAGAAAGAAAGAAAGAGCTATACATACTCATACAATGTAGGCTATAACATATTTCGTTATATAATAATAATAATATTAATAATAATAACAATAATACATGTTACCTTTTCTTAAAAGCAGCTTAAGTTCTAAATCAAAACAAACTGGATTTCTATCTTCACTTCCACAATACGGTTTCCCTGAAATAAATGCCTACCTTGTATATGCCCCGACGAGTTAGAGAGAAGCAGAGATGAGTTTTCAGAGTCTTGAGAAATATCCATGTTGAAAATTGTGAAAGAAATGTAGAAATGTACATCTACCTCTGCAGAGAAAGCAAATAACTGCAAACTTAAAGTCTCAGTGAAAGTCACACCTTTGTCACCGCCTCACATTTTGTACTTAGCATTATCATTCTATACACAATTTTCACCGTACTCATTACATACCACACTGATATGCAATGAATAAAACACAAACAAAAATTCAACAATAACCCTGGGCTTTACAAGTATCAGATTTCTTTAAGCTAAAAACGCGGACAACTTGTTTGAAGACGCGTGAGATGAAGAGCAGCAGCATCCACAAGTCTCAGTGTCTCTGCAGGGGTGGGTTAGTTAGTCAACACTCACTGTCCTTAGACACCAGCTGACACCTCCAGTCATAGAATGGCAATTGCACCTCTATCCATCAGGGCATTACTCTTTCGTCTTCATTTTAAAGGTTTGCAGTTGTTAAAATATTGATGCGAGGCTTGGGTATATTTGTGTTTCCTAACCACTGCACAAACCCAACAAGTGATGCTATGCCGGTTTCTTGATGCAACAGCGTATTCGACATTTATATAGGCTAGTTTAAATAATTAAATTTCATATTTATCTCTGTAGTTAAATATACCGTTTGGATCTACATTTTAAAATAAATTATTATTTTTTTTGCAATGTCAATTATATTATATCATAACCTTTACAAATTGCTACAATTTTACTGTTTGTAAATTGGCTTTTGCAGCCAGACTTTTCTCTGAATTACGCGGTCCAGCATTTTCACTCTTTAACCACTCGATGTCGCTCCGTTCATCTGTGTGTCATGCTGCATTATTGTCATGGAGAACTGGAACAACCAATCTCTTCTGTTTTGTTCCAATCTGTACTACAGTCTTAAATGCGAGATTAAAGGCTTTAGATAAGAAGATACGCGCGTTTAAATCGATTCTCTGATCTATGGTGCACGATTTGTCGTTTTGTGTAGTTTCACTATTAATTCAGTGTGCGAAGTTTTTGTTTGGACCTTTCCATCTTTGCGGATCATAACACGAAGGAAGCGGAAATTAACAGCCCGCTTGCTTTTCCCGGAGCTACTCCGAAGTCGGGAAAATTAACTACAACAGTAAGCCGTATAACACGATTTTACTGTTGTTAAAATACAGTATTTTTATTTAGATCTTTATTTCACTGCGTAAGGGGGATCGGAGAGGGAGACTCTGCACCTCTGTGCGCTGGGTAAGTGATTTTTCTTATCTAATCAGACGGAAAGAGAGTTGCATTGGAATAACTATATGTTCGACTCGTTTCAGTCAGATTGGTAGATTTCTGGATAGAAAAAAGATTTAGATGTAGGGGAAAGTAGCTAAAAAAGCGAAGGAAATACTAGTGGTGTTTGTGTATGATTCACAAGGCTGAAAAGTTTAGTGTCAAAACAAAAGATCTCATCTTCACAATCACAGCATATTTATCACTAAACGAATCCGTTCCCCTAATCCTAACTATTTACATATAGAACCGATTATATTACACCTACTGCAGACGAGCGACGCGAAGCGACAAACTATAATATATGGTCGTATTATAATCAACGAAGCTGTCTGCAAACGACGTGACGGACGCCCGGGGCCCACTGCAAATTTAGTTCAGCGCGAGCTGTCTGGAGGTCAGTCTGGACTTGAGAACTCGTTGCATGTTTGCAGCGTCCTGACAGTATGATTATAACGGCAAAGTGCTAGAATGTCGAATAGCGGAGTGAACAAATCATTTAAGTGAATCGTTCGTTCAATCCCTTGCACTGACTCGTGTTTTGTTCGTCCAAGTAAGGGCGTGACTCCATTGGTAGTATTTTCTGCCGTCAGCAAATAATATTCGAGTGTGGGCTGTGGAAGGAGATTTTCATTGGTTGGATCGTTTGAACGAATACGCCCCTTTACTGAACGAGACTCGGAGAATTGAGATTCGGAGAATTGTCACTGAACCATTGGCTTCGAATACAATTCGTGAATGATCTGGAGGAATGAGCCATATCGTTCGTGAGCGATTTGAAATAACTGGCTATTTTTACGTAAATAAGGATCTGCTAACCGACAGAAGGGGCATGTCGTTCACTCTGTTCGTAATGTGAATCGATCTCGTTGACAAGGAGAGCGGCGAGGAAGAATTATGACCACACACACAATTAACATGACGTAAGGACGTTTACTGAAACTCATTACTATTTTATTTAGGCTATTCTATTTGTATTATTGCTCATATTCAAATTCATGCAGTTGAATGATCTGGTTTGCTGTCAGTTAACAAGTAAAACTCTCTCACTAGAGCTTTCTTAGTAGACTTGTAGGGACATAGATTTTATTAAAGGATAATGAGTTTTTTAACGAATCGGTTGAGTGAATGATTGACTCAAACACTCGAACTGAATCATCTTAGTGAATCGATTCAACTGATTCGAATCACTGGCATGAACAAATCAAACTCCAACCACTAGCGTAGAAAAGCTTAAACGTGATCTTGTCATGAGTGTCTGTTAATGACGCATCTCACTCAGGAAAGAAGAATTTGTTTGTACTTGTAATTAGTTAACATGTAAAAGTCCTTTGTTGTGACTTCAGTATTGCAACCAATGTGTCAGATCAGCATTAGGGATGGGCGATACCACTTATTTTGTTTTCGATACAATACCGATACTTTTAAAGGCCAGTATCGTCGATATCGATACCGATACGATACTTCTGAACTAAACTTTTAAATTATGAAGTTTATTAAATTACTAGCATGACTCAAGCTCTCACCAGCATCCAGTCTCACCAAGACATCTGAATCACATTACATCTGATTCCTCTTATTGGCTCATAGTCGGTTGCAAGGAAACGCCAGCTCGACCCAGTTATTCCTTTCCCTTTATATTTGCGTACATTGCACAGCTGCTTCATACCAGATCTGAATAAAAGGGAGGGAAAAAAAGTATTTTTCCTTATGCTTCGTTAATAGATAACTACATTTGGTTCAAATCTTTATGTCTGTCTGCAGGTTGACAGCACCCAAACAAGGAAGATCTGTCGCTCCACGGTCAGCAGTGACAAGGACAGATATTAGGAGATTGAATCAGATCAGTCAGGGCTGTTATTCTGCCTGTAGAAGCACTTCCTTCTGGAGCTTTATATCTGTCTCGTGTCCACACAGTCCATGCCATGGAGGCAATAGCGAAATACGATTTCAAAGCTACTGCGGATGATGAATTAAGTTTCAAGCGAGGAGAGATTTTAAAGGTAAGTGCCATTTGTTACTGCTGCATTTTTTCATTCCTGTCTTTCTGTATGATCAAGCTATGAGGAACCTGATGTCTTCAGAAATCTCTTGCTTATCTGTTTGTCCTGTTCCAATAACTGGTTTATACAGACCTATTAACTTTAATCAGTTTCGGAAATATAGCATTGATTTCATAAAGTCTGGATGTGCAGTGATGTCAAGTCAGTTTTATTTGTATGTCACTTTTCACATACACAATATTGTTTCAAAGCAGCTTTACAGAAAAGTTTGATTAGAGCAGATTAGAGCTGGATGGTAATATAGTTTACATTCTGGAATGATATAAACAATCACAGAGCCGAGATGTGCTATATATTATGTATTGATTTACATGAGTGTACTGTATGTATGTGGTTAAAGTTGGATGTACTATATTTGCAACTTTAAATATAAAGCTGGGCGATAATATATTTTACATTTTGCAATGATATGTATAATCAAGTAGTTGGGATGTGACTGCAACAAGAAATTGTAGCCCACAGTTTGTCACTGCTGTTAGGAACTCAGCATTGTGAATCTGAATGTCATTTAACTTTGTTTATCTGCTTTAAACTGAACAAACATTAAATAAATTGAAATGAAGGTATGACAAAATCTAAATTAGCTTTGAGGCCATAAAATATTTTATCTAGGCTCTCATTGCTGTCATATTTTTTACAGCTTGATTTGTGAGATGAGTTATGCCCTAAAATTACATAAGGGTGTTTGCACATATTTCATTATATTCATTGGTTGCCAGGGCACAGTTCGTTTTTTGTTTTTTTTGCCCGATAAAGTGTGAAATGGACTTATATTTTCCCCATGATGTTATAGTGTGGCTCCAGAGTGATTACTCGCATGACATTTAGGTTCAGATGATGGCGTGAAACAACATGACACCCGTGAGCAAAGATGGGGTATTTACCCCCGTTCACAACTGTCATTAAAATGAATAAGACGTTTTCTCTTGATATTATATAGACATCCTTACCTGTAACTAACTTGCGAGTAGCATACACCACTGTTCAAATTCTGGGGGTCAGTAAGATTTCTTATTTATTTTTTCAAAAAAATTAATACTTTTATTCATCAAGACTGCATTAAATTGATCAAAAGTGACAAGTGTTATTTTGAACTTTTATTCATCAAAGAATCCTGAAGAAATTAAGCCATTTTCAACACTGATAATAATAAGAAATGTTACTTGAGCCCCAAATCAGCATATTAGAAAGGTTTCTGAAGGATCTTGTGACACTGAAGACTGGAGTAATGGCTGCTCAAAATTCAGCTTTGCCATCATAGAAGTAAATGACACACTGTAAAAAATGATTGTGATTTTAACAGTAAAAGACTAAAAATGCTACAGTAAAAACCTGTTAACTGGTTAACAGTAAGTTTCCATACAATATTTGGTGAATAAATGTTATTACATTTAATGTAATTTTACAGTAAAATACTGTTAAAAATACGGTTTTTGGAAGTGAAAAAGAAAAAGTGATTGTATAATTCACAGTGACAAACCGTAAATTGACACTCCCAGAATTCCCTGCATGACACTTCATATTTTAATTTTTTTGTTGTTGAAATAACGTTTCTTAGTTTTTCTTATCAGTTGTGTACATTAGGGTTTAATCTTACATCTAATGTTGTTAAATGAATGTTTATTGCATTATTTCAGAATCATGTGTGTCACCATGATGGGGTTTAGTGTTTGTGTGAATGACACTGTGCTCCTTCTATATACAAGTACTGCCCTCCTGAGCTCGTAGAAAAGCTGTTTGTGATGAGCTTTGGTTCATCATGTGACTTTCTCATCACCACCAGTTTTTGGTGGTTATCAGTGCATTACAATGGTTCAAAATAGATATTAGTACTTCGATTTTTTTTTACAGTGCATTTTAAAATACATTAAAATTATAATAATATTTTACAATATTCCTATTTTTACTGTATTTTTTGATCGAATAAATGTAGCCATGGTGAGCATAAGAGACTTCTTTCAGAGACATTAAAAAACACATCCTGCTTCTGAACCAAGGTCTGAACCCTAGCAACTCAGACCCCCCCCCCTCCATCCAAAAGATTTTGGACTGGATTCAGGAGCGCTTGCCATCCTGCTGTAATTGAATTTAGGTCATGGATCAGCTATTCTTGCCCCCTGGACCTTTCATCCAGCAAAACGCAAGGCTTCAAAGTTGCACATCATTCTCAATGTTCTAGATAACTTTTAATCATCAGCGTACATAAATACTCTCTGCTTTTGCATTCTACCAACTTGAATATGATCACACACTGCCCTTTTCACCCCCATTTTACCTCGTATTCGTCATGCAAATGAAGGGATAGAGATATTGAGCCTAGTTTAACT